TTAAGGTTTTTGTAGCTGCCCTTTATCAAGTTGAGACAGTTCCCTTCCACTCCAGCTTTGCTGAGAGTTTTCATCGTGAACAGATCTGATGAGTTTTGTTGACTGTTTTTCTTTCCTGCATCTACTGAGGTGATATTTTTTTTAATACACTGATGTGATTGATTTTATATTTTAATGTTGCATTCAAAATCTACCTTGCATTACTGAAATAAGTTCCACTTGGTCTTTTTTATTTATTGCTAGACTTCATCTGTTAATATTTTGTTAAGGATTTCTGTGTTTACGTTTATAATGCATGCTGGTCTATAGTTTTATTTTCTTGTAAATTTTCTGGAAAATTTGCATAGAAATGACATTTCTCCCTTAAAGTTTTTAATGTTTATTTATTTTTGAGAGAGAGAGACAGAGACAGAGACAAAGACACAGCGTGCAAGCAGGGGAGGGGCAGAGAGAGTGGAGACACAGAATCTGAAGCAGGCTCCAGGCTCTGAGCTGTCAGCACAAAGCCCAACACAGGGCTCAAACCCACAAACCGTGACATCATGACCTGAGCCGAAGTCGGATGATTAACCGATTGAGTCACCCAGGTGGCTCCCTTAAATGTTTGGTAGATATTACCAGTAAAACCATTTGGACCTATACTTTTCTTTGTGGAATATTTAACTACAAATTCAATTTTTTTTTTTAATATTTTTATTTATTTCTAGGAGAGAGAGAGAGAGACAGCATGAGCAGGGGAGGGTCAGAGTGAGAGGGAGATACAGACTCCGAAATAGGCTCCAGGCTCTGAGCTGGCTGTCAGCACAGAGCCCAACGCGAGGCTCGAACCCACGAACTGCGAGATCATGACCTGAGCGAAAGTCGGACACTTAACCGACTAAGCCACCCAGGCGCCCGCAAATTCAATTTTTTAACACATATAGGATTATTTTCATTATTTCTTCCTCATACATAGTTTGTGTCTTTCAAAGCATTTGTCCATTTCATCTCACTTATCACACTTAATGGAATAAAGCTATTCATAACAGTCTCTTATTATCATTTAATATCTATAGGATCTATAGGGATTTCCCTCTTTCACTCCTTATACTACTAATTTGTTTTTTCCCTCTTTTTACTCTTAGTTTCAGTAAAGTTTTTTTTTTCCAATCCACCATCTTATTTATACAATTTATTGTCAAGTTGGTTTCCAAACAACACCCAGTGTTCATCCCAACAAGTGCCCTCCTCAATGCCCATCACTCACTTTCCCCTCTCCCCCACCCCTCATCAACCTTCAGTTTGTCTCTGTATTTAAGAGTCTCTTATGGTTTGCCTCCCTCCCTCTGTTTGTAACTTTTTTTCCCCTTCCCTTCCCCCATAGTCTGCTGTTAAGTTTTTCAAGATCCACATGAGTGAAAACATATGGTATCTGTCTTTCTCTAAGTTATTTCATTTAGCATAATACCCTCCAAGTTTCAGTAAAGTTTTATCAATTTTATTGATCTTTTCAAGGAACTAGCTTTTTATTTCGTTGATTTTTTTCCTCTATTGTTGTTTTCAGTTTCATTGATTTCTACCCTTATCTTTATTATTTCCTTCCTTATGCTTACTTTGGGTTTAATTTGTTCTTTTTCTATTTTTTACAAGCTTAGATCATTGACTTGTAATCTTTCTCCTTTCTAGCATAAATTTCCCTATAAGCACTGATTTAACTGCATTTCACAAATTTGGTATATTGTGTTTTCCTTTTGATTTACTTCAAAATATGTTCTAAGTTCTCGTGATTTATTCTTTACACATGGGCTATTTAGAAGTGTTTTCCTTAATTACCAAATTATTTGGGGACTTTCCAGATATGTTTATATTAGCAATTTCTTTGTTGTTGTTGTTGTTTATTTATTTATTTATTTGAGAGGGAAAGAGAATCCCAAGCAGGCTATGCATTGTCAATGCAAAGCCTGATATGGTGCTCAATCTTACAAACCATGAGATCATGACCTGAGCTGAAACCAAGAGATAGACATTCATTCAACTAATGTAGTCACCAGACATCCCTGTATTAGCGATTTCTAATTTAATTCTTCTTGTGTGTCAAAAACATACTTTGTACCATTTCATCTTTTAATCTGTAGAATATAGTCTACCTTGGTGAATATGGACTTGAAAGAAATGTACTTTCTGCAGGCAGTGAATGGAATGTTTTGTAAATGTCAATCAGGTCAAGCTGGTTACGTTATTCAGGTCTCCTGACCTCCTAGATTTATTTGCTAACATTTTGTCTATTCTATCAGTTACTGAGAAGATTGCAATCTTCATGCATACAGGCATGCTCGCGTACAAACATACATACATATACAAACATAGACAATGTGACAATCAAAATTAAGTACGGATTATAGTTAAGTTTTTCCCCACATATTAAAAGCACTGCATGTTCACTAAAGATAAATTTTAAAATTCAATAAAGCACTCATCCCACCACCCAAGTTGGTTTTACTCTTTACTCTTATTTAAATGAAGTGATATCTAGAGTGTCAAGGTACCAGGCATGGTCCTGGCCCCATCCACCATCTCAGATCCACAGTTGGACGGCAGGCTGGAATGCTTAGCCTCCCACCCACTCCTCAGAGGCCATCAGACATTCACTTATCATAGTTCTACGAAACTGAAATAAAACCTTTTCTACTTCCTGGCTTTCTGATACTATGTAGATCTCTAAAGCCTTTTCCAAGCTTGAGAATTTTAAGAATTATTTTTCTTCCTGTAAGATAACAGTGTAATCTGAGTATAGCTCCTATCTGGTAAGACATTCTTCTAATATTATATCTTAATACTCTTAGAAATAATAAACAATATTAAAGACAGGATCCGAATAAGGCTAAAAGCAAATACTAAAATTTAAGCAGAGTACCAATATATACAAAATTCAAGTCCAAAGAGAAAAGCAATATCTGCAATTCATATATTAAAAATATTTCCTGAGTGCCTACTGTGTGTTAGGCATTATTCCTACTCCTAAGAATAAAGCACTAAACAAAGTAGACAGTCTCCAGGACCACTCTGTGGGGTGGAGGAGACATACACAATCAACATAAATATATAACATTCTGGACTGTGAAAATTATAATGAAGAAACATAAAGGATAATAAAGGAAATGGGGAGGCAGGGTATGCAGTTAACACTTGCTGGTCAGGGAAGTCCTCAGACAACAAGACAGAAGAAATCATACAGATATTTAGAAGAGAAATATTCCAAACTGAGGAATAACAAACACTTCTTGAGGAGGGAATGTTTGCTGGAATGTTTGAGGAACTATAAAGAAGCATTCGGTCTGCGATTTTGAAAGGGATTATAAATTAGCGACATATTGTTTTAAGCTAGTTAGTCGCGTGTGGAGCCACCTATCCAAAGTACAGCACAAAAACTTAAAAGTTCATGATTTTTCATTTAAATGAGGAAATTAAGCTAGGAAAATTCTGACACTTCCTAAAGGAAATATTTTTCAAAATCCTTCTAAAACCAATACTAACTTATCACAAAAACCAATAGCATCCTGTGTTAAAGAAGTACATACTCTATTTATATATTTATCTTTACAGAGAAAAACTAAAGCAAAGACAGACCTAAGGAAATGATAAGCACTTATTCTTTCAGAGGGTGCTATTAAAAAAAAAAAAAGCAGAGCCCTCTTCTCACTCAGGAAAATAAATTTCTTCAGAAAAAAAACTGAAAAATATTAGCCTATAATTACTATTTAAATGCAAACAAACACAACTTTTAAAAAGTGAATTTTCATATTTTACATAAGATTAAGTCAAGCAATCAGCAAGAATTAATAAAATAAGTATATATACTTAACTTTCCCATTCAGTCAAGTAACTTTACAAAATATTTTTAAATTCCTTTGGCTAGGGAAAACATGGAATTGAATTTATCATTTTAACCTACTACAATAAAATTTAAAAGATCAGCGTCATCCAGAATAAACTTTACAGCTCTTGACTTCACCAGGAATTACATCATATAATCCAAAATATGAATTAAAAAGCCATTAAGAAATGTAGACCTTTTTGTATGCCACATGTTCCCTTTTGATTTCTTGCCTGGGTTTATAAATCTCTAAGGCTGCGTGGTAGTTCACAGTCTTAGTTCATATTACAAAGATCCAGGCTATTTATTTTCCGAACACAAATCTAAAAATTATAATATAACCAAGTTTGATATCAGTTTAAGGAATTTTCGCATCTTCAGTCAAGATGATGTCTGGATAAAACTAAAAAGCCTGACAGTACTAAATGTTGGTGGGGCTGCGGAACAAGCAGAACGCTCCCATGCGCGGCCAATGGGAAAGCCATCAGCACACACATACGTCTTGTAGCTGACCAACCACAAACCCTTGCATAATGCCCACGTCTTCAGATTTCCTCATCACAATTCCCACCATGGAAAGTGGTGTCAACTGCAATCTCTCAAGGTTTCCTTACTGACACTTTCATTACTGTCACTCCCAACACTCCAAAATGTCATAGTCAACCACTGGCCATTTGGAACAAACCAAATCCTACACTGTCCAAGACAGCACTGAACACAATAACATAATATCTAAAACTAAAATATTTATCAAACTGACAAATATGCCATAAAAGAAACTACAGAAATAGACACAGGTAATTCCATGTAATTCTAATAGTTAATATTTATCTCGGTATGACAAAGTAATACAAAACATACACAGAGAGTCAACAATGAGATGTAAGAAAAGGATTAACCATAGGAACTTTTACAAACAACATTTAAATCTGCTCCAGACTGCAACTGTGAAAAAAGATAATCCCAACAAAGGAACAAATTTAAGAAGATGGTGATATTTACTATAGTAATTAGTAGTTTGACTAATTAGTACTTTTAACACGTTAGCTGTTTTACATTTTCTTCAAATTATATTATTTGATATTCTAAGTCAGTGAATTTAACATAAAAGGGGGAAGAAAAGGAAAAGAGAGGGAAAAAAACTTACTGGGATTGAAAATTCCTCAGCCAAATACTTTAAGGCGGCAGCTTCTCTTGCCAAGAACTTACTTCTTTCTCTCATGTTGCCCTGAAGTTGTGTATCAAACTCCTTCCTTACCACAGAAGCAACAGAGTCAATAATTACAAGTTTAATTCCCTTTGAAATAATTTCTTCTTCTAAAGATTCAATTCTGCAAAAGTAGAATTTGTGAAACAGTGGAAAAATTTAAGATAAATAAAAAATAGGGTATTGCAAAGATTAACCAACTTAAAAACAATAACAAATTGTTCGTCCCTAATTTACAGTAATGACTGCAAGTATTCAATAATCATAACTTATTTCCAGCTCTTCTATACATACTACACTCTTTTGAAAATGGACCAAAATGTTTTCATCTAGTTTCATTCTCTGATTCTCCTATGGATACTGCTAATTTCAGGGTAAAACTGCTTGTCGCAGCCAATCTCCAAAATGGCCCCCATTTACTCCGACCTTGTCCTGCCAGCCTTGTGCAGTCCCCTTCCACATTTACCAATATTGGTCTGTACGGCCAGCAGCATATGACAAAATGATGCCATGTCACTTCTGAGAGCAGGTTATAAAGACTACAGCTGCCATCTTGGGCTCTCTTTCACTTGCCCACTCTCAGATCACTCTCTCTGGGGGAAGCAAGTTGCCATGTTGTTAACAGTCCTATGGAGAGGTCCACATGGTGAAAAACAGAGGTCTATGGCTAACAGCCAGCAAGGAAGGGAGGCTTTCCAGCAACTATCTGAGTAACCTTGGCATTATCCAAGATTGTCCAGCCCCAACTGAGCCCTGAGATAACCACAGCCCTTGCCAACAGCTGGACAGCAACCTCTGTTGCAACCCTGAGCCAGAAACGCTCAGCTAAGCACTCCCAGATACCTAACCCTCTGATACTAGGTGAGACAAGACACCATTTGCTGTTTTAAGCTGCTGAATTTGGGGGTAACCTGTTAATGAAACAAAAGATACCTGATATACTACCTAAATGGTTAATTAAATCTAAAACATTTTACTTAATATTTTCTTTTTAAAGAAATATTTCATCCAATAGGCTATAGCAAATAAAGAACATTGAAATAATTATTTCCCATAATCCTAATACATATGTAGAGACTTCTTTCACTCAGAAGCTGAAAGCATAAAAACAAAAAATAAATCTTCAAAGTATTACTAAAATACCAAAATCTAAAGCAGCAAACCTTTGTAGAACTTCATCACAGCTGAGTTCCCGATAAAGATGAACCTTACTGCTTGTCAAAAGTAATTTTTCTTCAGTGTTAAAATATCTGGGAAAACGAGATTCTGCTATCTCAATCAGTCTGTGGGGAGGAAAAATAGCGCAAGTGAAAATAGTTAATAATATTCAAGGCCACAATGCCGAACATCTAATGAATTTTACTGAAGAAATTCATAAGCCACAAGTAACACTAGAACAAAAATAGAGCAGGAATAAGCAAAATGCTTTAATACAGAATTTTTAAATGTAAGCTATTTCCAGGGCGCCTGGGTGGCTGCATCCAACTTCGGCTCAGGTCATGATCTCACAGTTCATGGATTCAAGCCCCACATGGGGCTCTGTGCTGACAGCTCAGACCCTGGAGCCTGCTCGGGATTCTGTGTTTCCATCTGACTCTGCCCCTCCACCGCTCATGCTCTCTATATATATATCTCTCTCTCAAAAATAAAAAAACATTAAAAAAATTTTTAATGTAAGCTATCTGTTATAATCACTTAGAGAGATTAGCAGAGCATTGTTTTTTAATAATTGATCATTTGACTAACAGCTATAAGACATGTTTAGTAAATAAGAAAAATGATTTCATCATCATGGATAAAAGAAAGGTACTTGAACAAATATATAGTATTATCACTCTAACAATCAAATATCAGTAAGTCTCCATGTCTCAGAACAGAAAAACATGCTTTCTCAGTTAAAACTTAATACATACAAAATAAATCCTATCCCAGTAGCTCCTTGGTAAACAGGAAATTATTAACTAAACAAATGGATGTTGTCCAATATTTCCTTAGTAAGCAAATTATTTTCTACCTATTTAATTCTGAACTCAACGCTAGATCTGATGTATGAAGTAGGCCAAGTATAGGAGTGACAAGGAGAAACAGATGCAAATATCATCAGTAAGAGTATAAGACATGGAGCTCAGTACTAGAAATTTCAAGTGTTTCTGGTTAAAAATATAAAAGTGTAAACCTCAAAGTGTAACTGTCTCCTATTTAAAATGATACTTTATCAGTCTGGTACTTAACCATCCAAGGATGACTGGAAGGAAGGACTATAAACACAAAAATCACCCTACACTTTATGTTCCATTTAAAGACACAAAAGTACAAAGAACAAGTGTTTTCATTTCTAGTTAATGAGTCCTAAGAAGAGGCTGAGAACTTTAAAGAGAGAAACAAAATAAGTTCCTCACATATATTATAATCAGAAATGAAAAAGAAACAGCTAAAACAGAGAGGAACAAAAAAAGAAAACTGGTCAATAATATTTTTAAGTGTATTTTGAACAATTCGAAAAGAAAACCATCATTGGGTTGAACAGGAAGAGGAAACAGTACTTTACCAAAAGATGGCTGAAGAGCAAGAACAAATGGATCAAATGAGCACTCAAGGAAAGTGTACAAGAGACACATGAGGGGTGGAATAAAGAAGGAAACGAGGTAAGCAGTGAAAGCATGATGAAATGAGATGAAACGGGAAAAGGCAGGACAGGCAAATTTTAAGGGTTTGGGGGAAAATGTGTAAATTTCTTGATTAGGGTATTTGTTGAATTCAGAGCTGGTCAGAGAAGTCAACTAAAAGCTCTGACACTTGGAACCCACTGATTTTTAATAGGATGGCTGTGGCAACATCTGTCAGAAACATGGAAGTCTTCCAAAATTGGATGCCCAGTGGATTAAGTACTGAGTACTTCTCTCAATCAGTAAGAGAACTGAACAGCTGACAGACAATATTAATTTTCTGGCTTCAACACTAGGCTGAATTTCAACTGGCAGCTTGAGTGGTAAAAGACTCTGGAAGTTATGACTGCTCTTTCCTTCCATTAAGGCCCCTCAGAAAGAAGGTGGTCAATGTATGGACACAAACTGACTTTGCTCACAGTTACCATGCTAAACAAGTGTACCAAATGATTATTCACATACCAATATGCTAAAATTTTCTATAATCAGTTTCTCCAATTGTTTTTTATTTTAGAAAAGATCTCTAAAAAATATATAAACCAAAACCTAAATACAAATGTAGTATCTATATGCCTCACACCAATCATAGCAACTTCTTATAGCAATCTTCATCACAAAGATCTTTTTTGGTTAGAGTAACAACAGAAAAGATCCTATCTTTCACTCCCAGATATTAATTACATATAGCTTGAAAGCAATGCCATCTAGTGGACATCTGTTTTACAAAAAGTATTCCTTTCAGGTATGTACTTAAGATTCATTCATTCAACACATATTTATTGAGTACCTACTATATGCCAGGCACCATTCTGGGTGCTAAGGATGTGACAATGAACAAAAAAAGCAAACAAACAAATAAACAAAAACAAAACTTTCCTCATGGAACCTACAGTCCACTGAGAGAGACAAAGAAATAAATATATATTATATATTAGGTAATAAGCGCTCTAAAGAAAAATGAACCAGGATGAGGGAACAGATTGTTAGGGATTGTGAGGGAAGCAAGTGTTATTTTATGTAAAGTGGTCTGGGAAAGCCCTTTAATAAGGTGAACTTGAGCAATGGCTTAAGGGAAATGAACTATTGGATATCCAGTGAAGCAGTGCATAGGCAAAGAGAATTATATATAACAAGTGCAAAAACCCAGATGTAAGAAGATGCCCAAGGTTACTGAGGAATGACAAGGAGGCTAATGTAGCTGAAACACAGGAAACAATATGGAGAATAAAAGGAAATGAGGCCAGAGTGCTAGCCAGGAGCCATGATCACATAAGATCCTTAGGTCTGTGGTATTTAGACATTATTTAGTAAATAAGAAATCTAGAAGTAGAAGTGACATGATCTGACTTTTTTTTTATTTAAAGAGTCACTCTACCAAATGGAAAAGAGGCTATCACAGTGAAAGCAAGACCAGCTAGTACAGTAGTCCACATAAGAGATGATGGTGACTTGACCTGGAGAATAGCTCAGCTGATTAGAAGTTACTAAACTCAAGGTATAGTTCAAAAAAGGTTCTGGGGCACCTGGGTGACTCAGTCAGTTGAGTGTGTGACTTCGGCTCAGGTCATGATCTCACATTTCATGGGTTCAAGCCCAGCATAGGCTCTGTGCTGACAGCTCAGAGCCTGGAGCCTGCTTCAAATCCTGTATCCCCCTCTTTCTCTGCCCATCCCCTGCTTGTACTCTGCCTCTCAAAAATGACTAAACATTAAAAAAAAAAAAAGGAGCTGAAGGGAATTCTTGACTAATTGGATGAGCATCTGGAGGAATGGAATTACCATTCATTGAAGTGGAGAAGACTGGATTTGTTCCAGGTTTTTGTTATTAGTTCCCCCTGTTACTTCACAGTTCTTGTATAAAAGGAAAGTTAAAAGCTTTACATTAGTGACCACATGCCAACTTGAAACAAAACACATGCTTAATGTTAAAAAAAAAAGTTTTCCAAAGTTCTAGTTGAAATATAACATCATAAATGTGCTGAAATATAAGTTTATGGTTTCTCAAAGCTTCTTATACATGTATAACATTTTCCTGTTCATTTTTTCAGTATATATACTTGTTCAGCACTGTGATATAAATATAAGAATGTGAATCTATTAGTTGTTTACAGGTTCCAGAAAATCCCAAAGTTTTGTTTAGTACTAAGTACTTATTACTAATTTCATATTCTAACTTAACTTAGAGCCTCTTCAAGATTTCCCTCCTCACTAATTCACCTAGATTCACAAATGATAAGGCAGCTGAAATTAGATGAAGAAAAACCTACCCAGATTCATGAAATCATCTCAAAAAATGGGAAGAGGGAACTGATCTCCCCCATTGTTTGCCCCCTAGGTCAAAGATCCTGGATTCATGCCAACAAACAAATAACTAAATGGCCCTAAGACCACACTGGTAATTGCCTTTATAATGAGTTAAAGTCATGGCTGGCCACTACCACCGCATGCCTCCCTCTTGACACACTGAAATTCAGAAAGAGTGACACTCTAAAGAGTCTAGTAGGAATTGGTTGCGGGGTACTTGGCACCTTGAGAGGTGACATGCAGTTCTTCAGATCTAAGCTTGGCCACTGCTTCCACACAGTATGATACAATACAACACACACCTCTCCTTTGTATAGTTAGTTTGAATCGTTACAATTTTACATGTTTGTGATTATTTGATTAATGTCTTCCTCCCAAATATTTCTTCCCAGTTTTCAAAGCTTTTCTGACTTCAAGACAACTCAAGACTACCCACTTCCATCTCCTAAATTTCCAACCCCATATTCCACCTCCCCAGATCCACACCTCCAGAGTGCCAGGACCCATCTCTTGTTTCAGTCCCTCGGTTTTCCTCACACACAAATCCACTTGCAATTCTAAGACCTAGTTTTATCTTCCTTTATCCATTTTGTTTCTCCCAGAATTGTATTTTGAAACCCTCTATTATTACTTACCGTCCATATCACCTTCTTTCTTTTATTCTTCACCTCTGGTTCCATCTATTCCTAATTATCTCCAATAGGGATAATACAGTATTCACTCAATTCACATATACCAGAATCCTCACAGTTGCCAAAATTGTATACAGGTCACTAGATTAATATATTTATCTATACTTTCAAAATATATATAAGCAGAGTTTGTCTAAGACTACTTCAGATCTTAAGCATAAGTCCAACAGGGTAAACAAATAAAAACAGGCTTTTCTGAATCAGCCAGAAAGGGGGACACAGAGCTCTGCCTGCTTAGCACTCTCCTCCCCCCGAGGCAGTCCCCAAATACCTGAGGGTTTGGTAGCAGACTCTACTATTATATAATTATTAATCAGTCTGGAGATATAATTTCAGTCTATGGTAAACAAACATGCTTAACCCACTATTTTAGATTATCTTCTCAAAGATAAATTTTTAAAAAGCTAGTGTATTGCTTTAAAAAATAGATCTCATCTTTCCAAAGCGCTTTTAAGCATATTACCTGCAAAATTTTCTATCTTTGTTTTTAATGCATTTTTAACTTAAGTAATTTTTATTTACTCCTGTTTTCTCCTTCCTTCTTGATAAAAAGGCTATCTATCAATTTATTAACCAAAATTATTTTCCACTTTTTATCATTCACCCTAAATTCTCTGTATGC